TTTAACAAGGCCACAGAAGAAGTGCTCTCGTAAATAGTACTTGTATGATACGCTCCGCTTGCCTGCTAACGTTTAATTAATCATGTGAATGATACAAATGCAAGAACTTAGTCTGACAAACAAACATGCATCTTCTGATGTATCAACATCTCATTGGCCCCCACCCCACACCCACCCCCATAAGCCACCCGCTATCTCGTTGCGCGTCTCCACTTCTGTCTGCCCACCGTTACCCCTTCCCTCCCCCCCCCCAACCGACTATCCCTTTTTTTTTCGCAAACCCGTTCGACATGGCGGAGACCTATGACCGCTCGTCTCTCTGTCGCGTGACCATTTGACATTTCCCATCGTTAACCTGTTGACGAGGCAACTTTCATTGACTGCTAGGCCTTATTCCTTAATTAAGATGAAAGTAACAACAGACTAATAATAACTTGCACGGTGTCAGACGAAAATGAGACCGTTATGATTTTCACAGTGGTTGAAGGAAAAGAGCGAAATGAATAACCCGAACATATCTGGATTGAATGGAAGTAATTAAAGAACGTGCTACAATTATTTGCCCATTGTTGAAACGATAGTTTGAAAGGTAGCACTTTCATGTTGACGTGTTGAACTGATAGACTGTCAAACACATGAGGCAGATTACCCCGGTCTAAGAAGCCGGATGACGTTGACGTTAAGAATTATGCAAGCAGCCCACCTTGATCATGGAGACAGTCAGTTATAATCAATAAACGGCAATTTTGCTCTGTCTTAACAGTGAACATATTTTTTTACCTGTCTTTGTATATTTTAAATTATGTGTTGGCATTTATTATAATTGTCTTTCGCATGCCGAGTTGATGAAGGCGTTACTTGAGCTGAGTGGTAGGCTTTTATATTGTTTCCAGCAAAAAGAGTTGCGCTATTAATCAGCTTCGCTCTCTCGTTCTTTCCTATTTTAATCCCCTGCCAAGACATGGTCAAGACGACTGGAAGTAGACCAAGATGGAGTGGATGACCAGAGTTGTTTTTTGTGTCTCACTGTGCTTTGTTCATCTTCTTCCATGGGCCCAAAAACCTTTAAAATCCTTTAATTTAAAATTTACAAAATCACATCTAAGCGAAATATTATTGTAAAAAAACAAAACAAATTAAATTTAAATATATTTAATTTTTTTAATGACGACACAATCTCAACTTTTTTTTTATGTGCGATAATTTTTTGCCCACATATTGAGGGGTGGCATTTGCGACCAACTGAAGAGTTCTTTAATCGTTGAAGTGGG